AAGAAGAAGAAGAACAACGTTGGTTTTGCATTGCGCCTGCAGCACCCATCTTCTCCCACGGGAGCCCTTCGGTGCCAGCATGATGGGCATTTCCTAGGCAACTGCTACTTCCCTGCTCCTGCCAGGGCAGCTCCCCAGAGCTCTGACCTGGTCGGCCAAAGCAGCGTCTGAACTTGAGTCAGTGGAGATTGGGTCCCTTGCAGCTCAGATGCCGTGTCCCTAGTTGCGCCCTAAGTGTTGTTTCTTTTGAGTGTCGTATGCCATACATACTTGGGCTGGGCCAAGGTGTGTTGCTCACAATATCAAGACTAACTCAGAGAAAGCCATACAGAATGAGCTCATGTGATTAAGGATGCCCTTCCCACTCTGTCCCTGATTATGTACTGTCTAGCGTAATGTATGATTAAAAATGCAACCCTTGTCAGCATGTACAACTTAAAATTTTCTATGGCCACATTAAAAAGTAAAAAGAAATAAGCAAAATTAGTTTTAATAACATTTCATTTATCCTCATAAATTAAAAAATTGCTTCAGCATATAATCAATTAAATTATTAATGAACTATTTTATCTTTTTATTTATACTAAGCTCATGAAATCTGGTGCATATTTCACACCCACAGCATGTCTCAGAACTAGCCAAATTTCAAATGTTCAGCAGCCACCTATAATTTATGGCTTCTATATTGGACACTGAAACTTAAGACCACCTAGGTGGGATGCGGGAGTGATTCTTCAGGGTCCACACTACCCTCCAAATTAAACTGCCTCACCCACTACACCAAGACAAGAAAGCTGGGATACAAGGGTATGTAGTCAAATATATGTGTATCAATAGAGCTTTGGATTTTATTATGCTTCGATAGACAATTTCACTTTTCTTTTTTTCCCTCTTTTTTTTTGTGTGTGTTAGAGATTGAATGCAGGGTCTCTTACATGCTAAGCACAGTCTATCACCAATCAGGATTTTAGGTAAATTAGAAATTATATTGGTCTCTTTATTTTTCTTTTAATTTTTTTTTTTGTTTGTTTCTTTCTTTGGTACAGGGTCTTACTACGCAGCTTGGAATCATAGTGATTCTCCATCTCAGCCTCCCTAGAGCTGGAAGTACAGGTGTGTGCCACCATTCCCCCAGTCTAGGTGGCGGGATCAGCGTGCCCAGGGTTGCGGGTGTGTGTGTGTGTGTGTGTGTGTGTGGCCAGCACAGCATGTGTGATCAAACCCAGTCCTTGAGCTTGCAAGGCAAGCTTGCTCGATTGTGGAGCTATCTCCCCAGCCCCTGGTCTTTGTTCTTTTATCTTAATTTTAACTTTTTATTTTTGGTCTTTTTGAGACAGAGTCTTGCTATGCATTTCAGGTTGGCCTGGAGCTCTCTTTGCAGCCCAGGCTGGTCTTGAACTCACAAGGATCCTCCTGCTTCAGCCTCCTGAGTGCTGGGATTACAGGCGTGTTTGTCTACACCCAGCTATATAAAGATTTTAACACAACAGAAGATGTATGCATGCTTAGGGTATATTTTTTCTTTCATATGTAATATAAACTTATTTTTTTTTCTCTCTCACATTGTCAGCCTTATCCAAAGCAGACTCTATACTTCCTACTTTCTTTCCTGGCTGCGTGTATGAAAATGCTGTCTTTCAATCTGCATCACTATACTTGTGGAATCTCTGGGAGCTGGGGAGAGGTCTGTTCACTGGCTGTGGAGAGCCAGGGTCTGCTTGCCTTCCTGTGATGGCAGGCCCAGGGCTGGCACTATAAGCTTTTGAACCAAATCTTTTTTTTTTTTTTTTTTTTTGTGGAACCAGGGATTGAACTCAGGCCCTTGAGCTTGCCAGGCAAGTACTTATTCTACTGAGCCATCTCCCCAGCCCCAAATTATTGATATTATTATAAAGAAGGGGGTTTCAAAATCGAGTTTCAGAAAAGTTGATAACTTTCTCAATCTGTAACCTCTTCCAAAAGGCAACACATAGACTTTACAGGCAAATTTCTAGAAACTTGACTTTGATACTAAGTAAGTAGAAAGGGTTAAAAATTTCAAGTCTAAAAAAAAAAAAAAATTCAAGCCTGTTGCAAATGACTGACTCAGCCTCTTTGTGCTTATCTCTATCTCTAGTAATGTGTGCTTTGAACCCTGAAAGTGCTGGGATATTTTATTTTGTTTTGTTTAATCGGAGCACTGCCTGGCACGAGAGGGGCGAGAAGAACTGAGAAGGCAGCCAGGGCTTCCTTTCCTCCCCTTCCCCCCATCTCAGCTACATGACCTGATTAAACAGCTTTGGGATGCTGGCCACACTTCTGTATGCTAACGAGGCTCCTGCCCTCCCGGTGATTTAGGGCGATTTCGTGCGCCCGGAGCTTCCCGACGCCCCGCACAAACCAGACTTCGCACAAGTCTCTCAATTTTGTCAAGGGGTCGCTAGAGAACTAGTCTCCCGGACCTGAAGCGGACGCAGGCTCTCTGGTGTCTCGGGGCACATCGGATTATTCATTAGCAAATTCTTTTCACCTTCTATCTAAGTAGTGAAAGGTGACGCCACAATCTCGAGTGCCACTCCCCGGACGGGACTCGGGCGACACCCAGTCCAGGCTTTATAACTTCTGCCTCGCTTTCCTAGCAGCAAAACAGCGTTGTTAAAAGTTGCCTTAAATCTTCCCTACATGTAAGCCTAAAGGTCGGAGCGCCGGGTTCCAGCCAGCCCCCCAGCCGGCCGGAGTCTGATCCCTTAGGAAGTTTTTGGGGAAGGCGGAGAACACGGGCGGTGGTAGTGGGGGGCCGCGCGGGGTGACCACCGGGAATTACGTAACGAAAGCCCTGGCCGCCGGGAGAGCGAGCCTGACATTGAGACAGACCAGGGGGAGGGGAGTTGCTGTCCTGGAGTCGCCAGGAACAGAGGCGGCAGTTCCAAGAAGCCCAGAGTGGAAGGTGGCAGAGATAAAGAAAACACTTCGGAAACAAGGATGTTGGGAAGCCGCGGGACCCGCAATTAACAATCGGCAGCACACACGTAGTAATTTGTCAGGGGAAACGGCAACCTGCCAACTTTTACAATGGAACACAAGGCTTGACCCTTCGGGGGATTAAAAACCATGATATGCAAAGCCCACAGCTAATGAATGGAATTCAGTGGTTTGTCAGCAGTATGTAAATATTTCTGTCCTGGAGCGCAAACTCTCTGCAGTTATTGAGAAAAGTAGGCACTGAAAGCAAGCTGGAAGGCTCTCCAGTGCGTTCCCACTGGTCCCCATCCGGAAAGGAGCAGCTACAGCGGCACTGCCTCTTTAAGACCTGCTCGCGGTCGGGCTCTACAAAAGGGAGTGACCTCTGGGCTTTGACAGCTCCCCTAATAACTACCATCGCGCAGGCCCCGCCCACCTGGCGACCAGCCGTGCGGATTGGCCAGCGGGCCGGTATCCCGTGCTATGATTGGCCTGCCGCTTCCCCTGAGCGAACCTTTAGAACTCTGAGACAGACAATATTCTGTTACATTGTAGCAAAATGGCGACTGTCATTCACAACCCCCTGAAAGCGTAAGTAAGACTAAAAAATGTACATATTCCGCGTGGTTTCAATATAAAAAAAAGGCGCCTTCTGCGTGCAGAGCGCTGCCAGTGCACGGCGCTTGCAGGCGCCTCCAGCTGCGGCGGGGCTTCTCGCTTTTCTTTCTGCTCTTACTTCTTCATCTTTTTTTCTCCCAGCGCGCAGAAATGTCAGGAGATGCAATTAACAAAAAGAAAATTGTTACATTTGTGTTCTGCTTAATTGGCCGACCGAGACACAGAGCGAGAGAGGTAGAAAGAGAGGCTACCGGCAGGGTGGCCGGGCGCTCCCGCGCTCTAGCAGGGGGCTTTGGGGCAGCTTGGGGACAGCACGGTCCCTCGAGCCCCGGGCTCTCGGGGCTGCGAGTGGCGCGGGGGCGGCCGAGCGGGGCCGCAGCTCCGGGCGGGGGCGGCCGCGGTGCACTTGGCTGAGCCCGGCGCTCCGGAGGCCGGAGCCCCCACCCGGGGATTCGGGCGTGCTGGGGCGAGCGGACAGACCGCCGGGGCTGCGGAGTTGGCAGGGCGCTCTCCGCCTTCCGATCTCTCGCGGGGAGTTTGCGTAAACCTTCCGGAGTTGTGCGACCGCGGGTCCCAGGAGCCCAGGTGGTTGCCCCGGGCTTTCCTACCCCAGTAGCTCCAGATTCTGAATGTGCTCGGGGCGGTCTCCGGTGTGTCTGCGTAATTCTGGGGGAACAGGCTGGAGTAAATTAATGACGCGGGTTAACTTGGGGTTGCTTTGGAGGCAGGGAAGCTGCAGGTCTTCTGAATGGTACGCTTGCCTTCTCGGGGTGGAGAGCCGAAGCGGGCGGGCATGCGGCTTGGGTTTCCGAGCGTCCGAGCGAGGGGCAGGTGCCTCTGGCCGCCTCGGGGAGACTTTGAGCAGACGCCCAGATCCGGGACAAGGGGGGCGGGCTGGGCGACAACTCGCGGGGCCAGCCCCAGGGACCCGCAGCCAATTTCTGCCTGCCTTCCTCCTCTTCGTCTTGGCTTCCTCCCTTCCTCCCTGCTTCTATCCTTCCTTCCTTCCTTCCTTCCTTCCTTCCTTCCTTCCTTCCTTCCTTCCTTCCTTCCTTCCTTCCAGCCGGTGGAACTGTTAAGCTTTCAAGTCCGCTCGCGATCGCCGAGCTCGGGGTGGCCTCGGAAAACTAATACCGCCCCAGAGGGGTGCTGTGGGCAGAGGCTGGCTCCTCGGATCGCGGCGCGACGCGAGCCCTGGGTCAGCACCCCTCGGACCAGGACTTCCCTGCCTGGGTGGAAGCTCAGGCGACGCGCGGGGGAGGTGCGGCTGGGCGCTTCGTGCGGAATTCTCCTCCGCGTGCGGCGTTGGTCGGCCTGGTTCTTTCAACTCGCTGCCTGCACTTCCTAACCCCCGGCTCCTCTCGGAGTTGGAAGCCAGGCTCGCGGCGCGCGGGTGCAGGGCCAGGGTGGGAGGAGTTCCTTACGCCGAGGACAGCGCGGGGACCTTCGGGCGTGCTCGCACCGGCTTGTCTGCATCAGCAATGAGGAGCAGGGGTACGGGCTGTATGCCGCCGTTAGGAGGACCCTGGAAGCCGAGGCTGAGCAGAGAGGAGCCCTTGGCTTCGCTTCTCACCCGAAAGCCCGCATCCACAGCACTTGAGCGCCGCAGCGTTCCACCCAAGGGACAGAAATGTTTCCTGGCAGGAATAAATGGGCGTAACTCCGCCGCATCCTCGCTCAGGGTCGCTCTCGCTCACACACCGCGGATGCTGGGAGTTGCTACCAAACCCACAGCTGATTTGCAATTTCCCATTTCCAGTTGGAATCACATAGCTCGGCTGACGCCACCTGGTAAACTCAAGTTAAAGCGGTCTATTTCACATGTGCGCCGGGCTTCCTGCTGGGAAAGCCTTACCCCGGTTACTTGGCAGCCGGCCTACGCGCCCGCCCGCGCGGCATCTCCGGCCTCCGGGGATCCCCGACCCCACACTTTTATTTGACCACAGAAGGGTGTGTGTTTGGGACTGTGAGGGAAGGGAGAGAGAAGCGAGAAGACGCCCAAGGGTTCCTGGGTGGCTAGCGAAAGTAGTTCTGAATTATACAGTACCTGTAGTATGTGTAATTAGGCACAGTTGTGATACGACGTGTTTGCGATTCTGTACTGGCGCACGCACACATACACGTGCGCGCGCCTGCCTTTTCTGAGTGGGAGTTGAGTGGTCAGTTATAATTAATTAGTCGCCCCTTTCTGCATCCCAAGCCCTCGCCCTGGCGCGGGGGTGGGGTGGGTGAGAGGTGTAAACAATAATCCGCTGTAGATCTTCTGACACCCAGGACTGTTCCTAAACTCCGCATGCTGGAGCATACACGTTGTTACTGGGAGACCGACACCACCTGCCTCTATATATTTTGAAAACAAGTTGTTTAGTAAAACGTCTTATATATTTCATTTGTTTTTAGAAGTTGGTAATCGGGAAACAAAACACAAGTAAATAAATTATGCATGGGATAAATTAGAACAAAGCCCGGAGACACATCGAGCCCAGGGATGGATGGCGCGGGAAGGAGGGGGAGGAGGGCGAATGGTTTGGAGAGCTGTTTTTATCCTCGTGTGTCCCTCCTGACAATGAAACGGAGCTCAATGGCATTAGCATTTTCTCTGCGTGCAGACAGACTCTTTCCCCCTCCTGGAAAAAAAAAAAAAAAAAAAAAAGCCGACAGTGCTAACGCCCCCTACAGATACTGGTCACACAAAGGTTTCCTGCGGGACGGGACGGGATGAAGTATTGGTAGGTGCTTTGCCGGGAAGAAGCAAGCTCAGGTTTCCTGCGTCACCCAGGTAGGGCTCTCCCTGCTGGGCACAGACTGTTTTTCATTATACTGGCTTTTGCCCTGTGAGAATCCAACAGTTCAGTTAGCTGAGGGCAACTGGCAGGCACAATCTGATCCGTTTGCTGTCAGGCCTTCCTTAGGGTCCCCAGCTCCTGAAGTCATGTTGGCTTTCTTAGCAGTTGGCTCTCTTCCTGGCTGGCTTTGATCTCCCTTCAACTCCCTTTCTTTTTCCTCCCGGTTGTACCCTTCAGCCCCCTTCTCTCTGAAACTGACAGCCTGACTTCTCTCTCTGTTGTTGCTTTTAACATCTTATTACTGCCCAATAGGGTGTTAGAGGCAGAAACAGGAGCTGCCTGGACTGCTCAGATCACAAAGGGGACACGGCAGGTGGCCCCACAATCAGGCAGGCACATCTGGACAAATAGAATTTAAAAGCCCTGCTGGACATGTATGATGTGCAAATGCATATTATACATTATTTAATTATTTAATTTAGCAGCTATATCGTGCGAGCGAGAGCGTGTGACAGGCATCTCCCTGCTAACACACACAAGCAAGTACATATGGCAGAATGACCACACGTAGGTGACATAAAGTACAGATTTGATTTGTCAGTGTGTACAATAGACAACATGTGGTCTGGTTGATTTCCACAGACCTGGATGCTTTGAATGTAAATTCTAATCTTAATATCTTAGTATAAGTAAATCATCTCCTCCCTAGTCTGCATGTAGCACTTTAAGCAATTTAATTCTTTTAGTAAGTTATCAAAACTGTGGCTTCTGTGCACGTAGCTGGGAATGTCTGCCACCTTCTGCCAGACTTGATTATGTACATATGTATCTATTATTACAATTGTCTGCTAAGGAAAGGATAACTATTATTATTTCATTATTCCAGATAGACTGATAGGGCAAATTAAATGTTTATTTATAAAGAATGAGACGAGTAAGCTATTTGGCCATTCTTATAACTGTAAACACACAGATAATTGTATCAGAACTTTCTTTTGCAAGGAGTTACTCTTGGATAACTGGTTATCCTTGTCGTAAAAGATACAACTCAGAGTAGTAAACGTATTTACTTACCAAGGGTCACACAGTAGGTCATGTCTATAGCTGGACCTTAAATCCTTATCTCTCCATCCAGCCTCTCCTCGGGATGCAGAGCATTCTAATCTAAAGTGGTTTTTGTGCATGTGAAAGTTAGAAACCAGACCTCGCTCTTGTGTGGCAGCCAGTTTAGCTATCGCAGGAAGGGCTTTGGGGGCCACATTCCTGGCCCTAATCTCCTCTGGACTATTTCTGTTGGGGCGGGGGTGGTGGGTAGGTACTAAGTGGCTAGAGTGGGGTTGAGACTTGGCGAGCTTGTAGCCTTTTATGGACATTGCTGAAGTCCTTCAGGAATAAAGACCCTAAGATATGTTAAGGCAATAGATGTCGAAGAATCACCCCCATCTGCCTTGGTTGCCACTAAAAAAAGTCCTGCATTCTCCAAACTTTATTAGCACACATTTTTTTTTTTTTGAATGTCTAGTTTCAGTAAGATACTGATAAAGGAGAGTAATTTCCACCAGAATCCCAGCAGAAGTATGGTCCCGGATAAACCTCTGAAAGTCGCCTGGCCTGTGGGCCTCCTGGGGTCGCCCGAGGTGGCCAGTGACTGAGAGCTGCTCATGTCCCCGTGGTGGGATGGAATTCAGAGCCCAGGTAGCTAGAGATTTCTTATCTTCTGAGCTTTTGTAATCTCACAGGTAGCTGGAATTTGGATACATTTAAGAAAGACCATAATGTCTAACGCTGTTTTAGAACCTTCTGCTGAGATCAATGCAAACGACAAAATGCCGCGGGTGCGTTCGGTGCACACACAGGAGAGAGAGAGAGAGTAGAAACTGAGGCAGATGTTTCCTTTTCTTGAGTGCGGTCATGCTGATTGTAGTGGTGGTGGGGTTAGGTCATAAAAAGGCACCAAATCCAGGCCTGTTTGTTATCCCAACCTCTGCAAAGTAACTTCTGTGGTTTTTGAGTGTTTTGAAAGTCACTAGAAGACAAGAAATATAGCCAAATGTGGCAAACCTCTAGCCAACAAAAATCCCACAACCACTGAAATATTTTTTACCCATCCACGATTTTCCATCTGGAGTCTATGGAAGCATGACCCTAGTTTTAAATAGTCTTTAAGTAGAAGATATTTAACAAGGA